CAACGATGTGTCTGCTTGCTGCATCTCGATTAATTTGTCTTTTGTTACATGTGCTCCAGTCTTTACATCACACACTTTGAGTGGCTTCACCTTACCAGATTTCTTCGCTTGCGCGCTGGTTGTTACTGATCCACTCACATTCCACACTGGATCCGGGTCATTTGGTGGTCTTGCTCCGGGCACATTCCCAACAATTAACTCATAGATTGGGTCCTGCACACATAATGCTTCAACCGTGCCTCTCAAATATGGCGTATCAATTTCCACTCTTTCTTTCTTGACCCCTGTGTTGTCCACTATGGCAGAACTTAGCCACATGAAGGCACTGTTCACCTTTGTCATGGCTGACATCAGTAATGCGGGATGGACATTGTGCTGCTCGATGACCAACACCCTGACATACAAAACACTGGATACTACTACCCTGTCCCACATCAGTCTTTCTAATGGCAGTCTTATTATCATTACGCCTCACCTGGTCTTTCGTGGATAACTGTCGACCATGTGCCACTAGGTACTGCTTTGCTATTACTGCCAACTCATCTAAATATTTGGGTGCTCTTTCTTTAAGATAAACTGCAAGATCTCTTGTACAGGCACCAATAAACTGCTCCTTCACCATCAAGTCGGTAACACCATCATATGTTGCTGCAGTGCCTGACAACTCAACCCATTAAGCAAAATAATTCTTAAGCCGCACAATTAACTGGTCAGGACTCTTGGAACTTTCAGGTTTAATTTCACGGAATCGCTTCCTGTACCCATCCTCTGTGAAATCGTATCTTGTCAACTGCATCAGTGTCGGACATCCTGGAATATAATTCCAGTGCTCTACCAGGCAACAGCGCACTCAATTTTGTGGCCCATCCATCTCTATGCCAACTCGCATTCGTAGCAAACCTCTCAAACCGCAATAAATAACTATCAAGTTCGATCTTACCATCAACAAATGCAGGCAACTTTGGTGACTGTGCATCACTGACCACATTTCGTTGACCGCCAAAATCAGCCTGTTGGAACCCCGGCATTGCTGCTTGCAGCTTTAATTTCTTCAACTCAAATTCTCTTTCGCCTGCTTCCGCTTCCAGTTGTAACTTTTCCTTTCTTTCCTCAATCCCCATTTTCCTCACCTCTGCTTCCCTTTCCTTTTCTCGCTGTTCTGCTTCCGCTTTCAGCCGTAACTTTTCCTTTCTTTCCTCAATCTCCATTTTCCTCACCTCTGCTTTCCTTTCCTTTTCTCGCTGTTCTGCTCCCATTTTTGCCTTTCTCTCTTCCCTCGCCGCTTGTCTGTCAGCCCGCTGAAAACTCAGTTGCTCCAAAATAAATTTCCTTTTGTCTTCTCCAGTCATTCCCAGTTCATCCGCTGATTCCATCAACCCTTGTTTCGACATATCTTTTATCTCGCTGGCCATGTTGTCTTCTATATGTCTTCACTGTTCCCGGACGAGCCCCCAGATGTCACACGCAACGTAACATACTGTAATTGGTATAGTACAGGTGTGCTGGTTCAAATACCAAAATGGCAACAGTTACAAAAAGACTTCCCTGGCGGCGATGATAAAATACGAACACAACAGATGAGGTTTCAACTGGTACTGGTATTATTATACTCTGCAAACATCAAGTACAATAACGCGGTAAAACTCCACTACTCCAATAACTAGATACTTAAACTCAAATACAATTCAACGAGATCTCCGATCTGAACTCAGTGCTGAACAACTCCCCTATATATACCCACACTGTCTATAAATAGACCATTACATCAGCATACATAATGAGTCTGAAATTTACTATAAATTTCTAGAATGTTCCATTACCTTCTATTGCCTCCTACAGTGTTCTATTACCTATTCAACCAGTTTCTAAACAAATCTAGAATATTTCAGCCAGACACAGTACGGTTCTAGAACATTCTCAGTGACACAGAAGTGGTAAATAAGTCGTATGCGACAAACAGTCAGAACAATTTGACAAATTTGTATTTGAATTACCAATCATTAGCAATCTGGAAAGCGAATTTCAGCTGTTATTATTGTTTTATAAAGCTCAATGACTTGTTTTTATTCCTTGACCTTCCTTGACCTTCCTTGACCTTCCTTGACTGCTTGTACAGCTCTTTCAGCTAACCCGGCAGAGTGGTAAGGAGCTGTTGTGATGTGCTTTATATTCAGTTATATTCAGAGCTATGATGAAGCCCCACTGTTAGATGATTCTTATAATAAATCATTAGACAATGAAAATGAAAGTTTCCAACCGATAAAAAAAAACAAGTTTATATACGAGTACTGCTGTATGTATTGATTGTAGTGTAATATTATGATATAATACGTGTTTACAATGTCAATAGCCACTAGTTGTTTACATGTATTTCAGCAAATTGTAATTAATATGCAAATGCATCTTTTACACTACATTACTTAATACCCTGATTAATCAAGTGTGATCTTTAAAATGTAATTATCTTAAGCCATGATTATGAATAATATTTGATCTAACAGTGGTGTGGCTAGCACACTTCTACTATAAAAGTACAACCGGTTATCTATTGTTTTCTTTTCGCATTCCACTGCAATGTTTGACTACAAGGCAGACCTTTCTTCCCCATCCACCCTTCCCTTCACAGTGTATTTGGCTTTCTTTGTTATAATTTTTACTTTTTTTAGTGCAGGGTTTATAGTATGATTGTAGAATTTTCCTCACAGGATTGTATATACCTCAACCATGGAGGCGGAAAAGAGACTACCTCCGTGCCCCAAGCTAGGGGATACTTTCGTTGGTATGGTGGATGTGCTGGCATACCACAAGCCTACCTATTTAACACGTCATTAGGGGAAATGTTATTCATGCCAAAAATAAAGCTGCGAAGCAAAAGTATAGTTAGTAATTAAGAGTGAATAAATGGCTAGCCTAGTATCAACAGAAATTAGATGTATTAAATTACTCTTCCAAAATTGAGACTTATGGTCAGAAATTAAACAGGATAAACTATTCATGCAACTGTTGTGTCCAAACTGAATCTCCTTTGTCTGGGCTCATGTACAGAGATATAGTAGTATGGTCAAAAAGCTAGATTACAGGCAGTTATCTTTGATCCGATTGTGAAACTAATTGTCACGGACATGTATAGTTTGAAGAGAACAAAAACATGTCAATAATACATTTTAAAAAAAACAAGATAGCTGCCAGTTGGTCATTTTGGATTTGAACAAGAAACAAATCATCAAGGACATGTATCTCAACATAAACAAGTTTGTGTCAAATGTGAACAAGAAACGACAAATCCTGTCGAAGAAACCACATTTTTTCACCTGATTGTAAAACAAATTTTTGTGGAGATGCAATCTAAAACGTACAATGCATGTACCAAATTTTAACAAAAACTGCATGCATAAGATACTACATTTTGAAACAACAAAATGGCTGCCAGTCGGCCATCTTCAATCGGATCATAAAACGAATTGTCATGGACATGTATCTATCTTAACATGTATAATGTATGTACCAAATTTGAACAAAACTGACAAAGTATGCATATCATATATTCAAAAAACAAGATGTCTGCCAGTCGGCCATCTTTGATCTGATCTCAAAATGAATCAGTATAGACATGTATCCTAAGATGTATAATGTATGTGCCAAATTTGATAATAAAGCTGGCAGTTCCTGATCTCTGATTACCCAAACTTATATCTTGGTATCGTGTGCATTTTTAGATGTTTACTGTTTAGGTTTTGAATCATATATCTTATTTCATTCAACTTCACACTGATTCAAGAGAAAAATACCCTGAAGATGATTTGGTGAATAAGATTCCTTTTTTCATTAACATATTTATACTGTGGGCTAAGTAAGTCTTCCAACAAGATTTAGATAAAAGGTTCCTGGATGCTTTTTATTGCAATTATTACCACAATTCATCAGACCAGTAATATTTGGCTGAGTTTCAGTGTTGTTATGAAAAATTGTTTATCCAGAGTATATAGAGAATATAGAATGGTGGTATTGAACATGTGTATCTCGTATTCAACACACAACACTCAAAAAGGTGACAGTAAAATTGTGTATGTATCACCATAATGTGGTACATTGTTTTCTTCTCAATGAGAGCTGGGCTAACTGATTGAAGTAGATAAGTTCTGAGCTGTGTAGTAGAATATCATTTAATATGTATATATAGTTTTAATAAATGTACTATCCTTACACTTAGAAGGAGGGAGGGTCACAATTTTTCATGCAAATGTTTGTGAAGGGTCATATATATATTTTTATGTACGCGACTTTCAAAAAACACCGGCCTACCCCCCCCATACTTTTGTCAAGTCCTTAACACCATTTGTTTACGTGATACAGACTAATTATTGTCATTAATCTTTACTATAGCTAGTATCTATGTTACTTACCTTAGCCGCCACTGTGGACGACTGTAGCAGTGTTGCTGCCCACGTCCACTGTGAGACTATTGTGGTAGCTGTCAGTCCAACTGACACTTCTCCGCCTGCATCAAAGTCAGTGTCAAGATTATCCTGTAAACAAAAATAAGTACTTGAAGTGATTTGTTGTGATGACATTGTCTTGTATTGTTCACCGGCAGTGCGGTACTGATTGATCAAGATTCATTGTCCAGTATGTCAGTGTCATGAAGATATCGTGATTGGCTGATTAAATGACCTTGTGCTTTTGCTCAATGTAAGTTTTGTTTTTGTTTCATTTTCATTTTCTTTTCTTTCATTTCATTTCATTTGAATCTATTATTTATTTGTTGAGTTTTTCAAAGTGTTGGTAATTGCAAATGCTAAACAAGGATCTGACTATATATATCCTGTTCAAATCTCGTAAAAGATTGTGTTGCGTCGCATGGGTTTCATTTTGAAGACAATCATCTCAATCAATGGTTGACCGAAGAAAATGCCCGGAAACGGTTGTTGAAGATAATTTGAATCAGATAAAGTTACAATATCATCTGCAATGAGTATACAAATCAGGTTGTCTAAACTGACACCATAATGGAATTAGAATAGACAGCATGTATTGTCATTGTTAATTAATATTCTTATATTCGTGATTGTGTAAGACGAACTTGAACACGAGTTAGTCAGTTGTCACCTAGCTCCAGGCCAGTGCCATGCATTGCAGTTCAGCTTAGCTCCAGGCCAGTGCCGTGCATTGCAGTTCAGCTTAGCTCCAGGCCAGTGCCGTGCAATGCAGTTCAGCTCAGCTCAAGGCCGGTGCCGTGCATTGCATTTCAGCTTAGTTCCAGGCCAGTGCCGTGCATTGCGTTCAGTTTAGCCCCAGGCCAGTGACGCCCATTGCAGTTCAGCTCAGCTCCAGGCCAGTGCCGTGCATTGCAGTTCAGCTTAGCTCCAGGCCAGTGCCGTACATTGCAGTTCAGCTCAGCTCCAGGCCGGTGCCGTGCATTGTAGTTCAGCTTAGCTCCAGGCCAGTGCTGTGCATTGCAATTCAGCTTAGCTCCAGGCCAGTGCCGCGCATTGCAGTTCAGCTTAGCTCCAGGCCAGTGCCATGCATTGCAGTTCAGCTTAGCTCCTGGCCAGTGCCGTGCATTGCAGTTCAGCTTAGATCCAGGCCAGTGCCGTGCATTGCAGTTCAGCTCAGCTCAAGGCCAGTGCTGTGCATTGCAGTTCAACTTAGCTCCAGGCCAGTGCCGTGCATTGCAGTTCAGCTTAGCTCCAGGCCAGTGCCGTGCATTGCAGTTCAACTCAGCTCCAGGCCAGTGCCGTGCATTGCAGTTCAGCTAAGCTCCAGGCAAGTGCTGCGCATTGCAGTTCAGCTTAGCTCCAGGCAAGTGCTGCGCATTGCAGATCAGCTTAGCTCCAGAACAGTGCTGTGC